TTCCAGACCATCAGTCTACCCAGTTCTTAAACCTTCTGGTGCCTATAATATACGAAACGTTTAGGAGGGTGGGAAAAATAGCATGTAAATGCGCTTGATCCGCAAATCATCGTGTGGACCAAATCATGCTTAAATCGGAAGCGAAATGCTTGAACGTCCAATGCCACATGTTTTTATTCATATATCTGTGTATTCAAACATACATACGTACATGTTTAGCATTTCAACTGCTCTTCACACCTCTTGGACCAGATGGGATCTACGTATTGCCATTTCTGCATATAAGTATCTACAATGCACCGGCACTTTTTTCTGTACTGTTAAACATTGCGGGATTGGTGGTGATTTCACTTGCTTTCAAGGAGGACTATACTGTAATGCATGCGGCAGCTGCTGCAAAGGTGAGACTTACACCTCAAGGTTAGATCTCTTTTGGACCTATTAGTTGCTGCTGGCGTGCCGCAGTCGTAAGCAGGGTGGATAACGGTCGAGAAATCCTCGACCATGGTATTTGCTGTGTAGTGTCGAGAGTGAACGTACGCGAGAGAGCACAGACGGCTTGCGCGCGGCGAGAGTGAATGTCCGCGCGGGAGAGCGTGACTGAACAGGCGAAAATCCTCGACGAGTCGTCGACAAATCTTCGACCAATTTCACCATTGTCGCAAGGGCAGAATATCTGATGATGATAGGATGCTGATTAGTCGAACAGCTGTTTCAGCTCTAAGCTTTCTCACATAATTTAGAAAAGAAACACTGAAACAAATCAATAAATCCCTATTGGAGCAAATCACGTAACACTGTGTGTCAGCCACGTATAGACCTTTCAAAGACGTAAAAAAATATTGGCCTTCATCCAACCCACATGGCGTTCGTTTTTTCAAGTGATCTAGCTCGTTGCGACTTTGCAGGGAAATGCCGAATTGCCTTCACCATGCGTGATTGCTGTGCTAGTGTGTGTCTCAACACGATTTGTCCAGATTTTCGGTTCAGCAACGATCGCAACGTGAGTTGATCAGAAAAGCCAGCGCTTTATGCCGGCCTCTAACTATAGTCTGCTTAAGGATAGAAAACAGAATAAGTGCAAAAACGAAGTTAATCATGACCTGCCACAAACAAAAAGAGCATCAGTTTGCAGCTATCTGATGACTAAAAATCTTTTGTCAACGTTAATTGAGTAAATCCCACTGCGCCAGACGACGTGCAATGCACCATGTGCGAGCACACGATACCATCGTGAGAAGATGAATAATCTTCGTATTTTTTCAAGCATTTGCCTAGTTAAATCCATTTTTTTGTCAAGCCACTGGATATTAACTGATTTAAATCTGACGTACGTGGTTAAATTTTTGATATGATCATTGGACATGATAAAAGAACGAGATGCAAAACTACAGGAGTGCAGTTATAACGGCGGTCGCCAATGGGTTCAAGGGGCGCATGAACGCCATGTTTGTTCTTAATGATATTAAGTTTTAAAAATTTGCTTGCCAAGGTCAGGTATAGCAATAGATTTTCTTCAAAAGGATAGAAGATGACAGTGAAGTTTGGAGAAGGATGAATATTCCGAGAAGATTAGCTGAATGAGCAATGTCAAAAAGCCATAATTTAAATGAGGTTCCGTTCTTATGGAGATAATTGCCAAACACCAAAATTCTCACTGCTGCCTTTCAACCCATTTCGCTTTTGTTGAGATGCCTTTCTTCTTAGTATAAAAATAATTTGAATGAATAATGGCTATATATTGAACCTCAAAAACTAACTGAGGCAAATGACTCTGACTCAGCTGTGGGAAATTTATGCGCTTATTAACTCAGGCATGATAACTACTAGTCCACTTTCAATCAATTCACATGAGCTATAGCCTCTACAAAAAGACCAGCATTTTTAGCCTCCCTAGCAATCATATACACCGTGCAAATGTTAAATATAATAATTTGTGAAACACACTTACGAGGCTAAAGGGTGGAGGAAGAGTGAAGGAGGGCAGGGGAGTGGGGAAGAGAATATGACTGGTGCGATATAATTTTCACAAACAGGTGTATGACGGGGAGCAGAGTGAGCAATTCTGAAGATGAAAGTGAGACTTATGTAGAGAAGTAAATGAGATGCATTAAAGATAAGAAGAGAAATTTCACAATTTCCCAGATGTATAAATTTGCTAGGCCATATGGGTTGTTCGTTATGAGGGGTCTTAACTTATTTTGTTTACCTGTGGGAATAAATTGAAAACACTATTGATTTCCAGCCTTGGATCGGCGTTTTCAATGCTGATGTTCTCGTTCAACAAGGAAGAAGCTGTGATAGCGAGCGCCGCATCACATCTTGGCGCAGGAGTGATCGGCGTCGCCCTCTATTTTGTGTTCATTTTCTACGACCTCACAAAATGGTAATCATGCTTCAAAAAACTTGCCCCACGAGGTGCTCGTTTCAGCAAAATCATTCCGCTCGAATAGAATTGGGCCCAAACAAAATAAGAGGAAGATTTTTAAGTGATGATAAGATTCTTGGATTGGGCCCGCATGGGATTTTTTCATTTTTTTCTGGAACCGTTCATAGGGATGCTTGGATCAGATGAAACGACTTGCTTACTTATATTAAAATCGTTCTTATTAAGTATACGTCCACGACGAGCGACTATTCTCGTGATGATTTCTTATGCTTGTCTGTTTTTGTTCACTCTACCCTGGCCGTTCCTACCAAGCAAAGTTGAAATATCAATTAACGGTCAGTTAAGCTCTCAGTTGTTTCTTCTAACAGAAGCGAAAGCAGTCAAGAAATTGGTGGCACTTGTGCACTATCACAGAGATATCTTGAGGAAATGATACGGAGTCCTTACAGGTTCCGATGCGGGTTGTTTCAGTGATCGGTTTAGTTGGTGTGATGACCTCACCCAAGTTTCTCCTGTTGTGAGTTTTGTTTACTTCGATTTAAAGGAAAGTCTACCTCACGATTTTGAAGGGAACAGAAATTAGTTTCTTGTAAAGCAGTCTTCCTCTTTTCCTTTATTCTTCGATAGCACAGGCTTACTCCTGATTTTGAAGGGTTCGCTTCTATTCCATTTGTGAAAGGTAAAATTGCATATCTACCACTATTAGGGCTCTCTCAGTTTTGGAATTTCAACACTAAACAGCAGCTTGATAGACAAAAGGCCTTGGTGGAGGGAGTGAGAAGCCGTATTAAACTTAGAGATCCTTGGAAACGAAACAAAACTATTTGAATTGTTGTCAAGAAAGGGTGATAATTCTCAAACTCTGCCGAAGTGCACAAACAATACGTTCAAAACCCATAAGTCTACCCAGAAAATTGCCGCTTCCAGCTCAAGGCTCATTAAGGCTCGTCTCGGTCATTTAGCGATGGCTAAAAATCAAGCGACACAAAACTTCTTTGCTATTCTTTCGTCCTATTTGTGCACCTACATATGTTATTGTGACTTATCCATCAAGCCCAGATTCTCATCTTCAATTGGGAACAGATTAAGCCAAATGTGAGATCATAGCTAGAAACAGTTCGGTAGATACTGCTAGTCAAACAGCTAATGGTACCCTTCACTTGCAAGCTACACCCACTCCCTTTCTTGCTTTCCTCACCTCGTTCCTACAACTGTCAAAGTGTTTGTAAATATAACACCCGCG